CGGAGGGCCATTGTATGCTGGTAGCATTGAGTGGGATATGGTCCATATGGAGTGACAGCCATCGTCCCATATAAGGCGATCCGTTCTGGAACGGGTCACGTGAACGTCTGGAACCTTTGTCAAGCAATTGCAAGGTAACTAGGGATATACAATATACATTAAATAAAATCGAAGAAACAATATTCCTCAAACCAAACAGCGATCGGACATTGAAAATCTGTCCGGCATCTCGGGAAGTCGAACTGTAACCAAACATCCACCATACCAACTATTTGGGATTGTTTGTACTGTACTGAAATTTCAAGTGGAAATTGCGAAATTTCGCTGGCCAAACAGACTCAAACCTTTTTTCTGACATAATTTTGCTAAATAGCTCTAAATTTGCATGGAGGGTTTTCCTGATGGGCTCAACACATTTATTTTCGAAAAAAAACTAGCAGACGTTGTACTTTCGATGTCATGCTGTCAAACTGTCAAAGAATTTATTTATTTATTTGTGCGATGTGGAGTAATGAACGTTTTGCCAAAAATGCGCGAACTCCCATGGACATCTAGTACTTGAACACGAACTCGTAGGACCATCTTGAACCGAATTGGAGTTTATGTCCCATCCATGCCTAGTGCAAGGGTGTCCCTTCTTCCACCACTCTTTACTCTCTTACCGTTTGTTGGTAATGGCTCGAAATCCAGACTCGCTCCTCGACCTACCTCCTGCAAACGCCGCAGGGCTTGCTTGTGCTTTAACCTCCCTAATTCTCTCTTGCTAATACCCCCATCATTTGATCCACTATCTGCAGTTGCCACATCATCGACACCCATCTCAGACAAGTCATGGGTCCTGTCCTCAGCCACAGCCTCGAAATGTTTGGGAAGCGCCAAGAGATCTGAGTATAGGTCCAGAACTTTGAGATCAGCTTGGGTGGCTAGAATTCCCGTCATAATTGAGTCTGAAGTAGAAACGATACAAATTTACCGGGCAGGGTGCGAGAGTTAAGCGCCAAAGCCAATGGCAGAGGATCGCTTGCCGTGAACTGTTAATAATAGCACTGTGAGTAGCCAATCAGTTTGGTAAGGGAGAAAATAGGTAACATTGTCAAGTGTCCATCGTCGTACTTCGACTAAATTCGAGTCATCGCTTTCGCCTTTACTACTCCAGCCTCCTTGTGAAGATCGATCAGCATCGAGTAAAACCCAGATAGAGCCATCGTCTTCCAGGGTGAAGTCAATGATAGGTTTATAAAATGGCTCATGCTGTATACAAGCCTCGGAGTCGTCGTTCATTGGAAACCAGAAGATAGCAGTGGCTCTGTCCATATCATTAACTGGCACAATATGCGACATACAAGACTTACCCGACTACACTGAACACGATTCTTGGCACTGGCAAAAGGATTGATGATATCCTGTGCACCACAAACACGACCTCGCTTTCTTCTGTCGACACTTCTCCAAGTTGTCCCTCAGGCGTTGCAGAATTTTGGCTTTCTTCCGTGTCCCCGTCGTCACCACTTCGTTTTTCTTTGCGTTTACCTTTATTTTTTCTTCGTTCTCTTTTTCCTTCGATTGGCTCTATATCCTCGTCTTCATTCTTCCACTCCCTTTTCTTTTTAGACGCCTTTACTGCGATGAAGGGTTGAACGGCAGAAAAGACATCGATGTTACGTAGCAGTTTCCCGCTCATCCAATCCCATATTTTTAACACGGAATCTCCGCCGCCAGAGATAAGTGTCCTTGAAGAAAATGAAGGAATATGAAGCGCAGAAACGTATCTGAATCATGTGGTGTTAGCGTTTCTGAGCTCAGAGAGCACAAGGCTTCGCACTTTTGGTGACCGAGGCAATAACTCTCAATCGTGTATCCCTGCGGGTACCAGCTGACTCTGATGTGTTCGTCTCTATCGGCAGTTACAATGTACTGCCCGTCAGCGGTCAGCAAAAATGTAGTCAAGAGGGAAGCGTGACCAAGAATGAGTTCCCCGCCAGAGGGATTTTCATGAGATGACAAAGCGTCACGCTCGCACCCACTGGATGATTCATTTGAGTTTGGGTGCAGCTGATAACTAGAGCACAACAAGTTATTCATAATATTGTTTGATGTCGAACATCATACCGGAATATGTCACCGAATTTGTCTGCAACAAGTATGTCTTTGTGATTCGCAAAATTAATATATGTTGGCTTCTTCGGCAGCACTCTGCGCTGCCTTCAGAACAGTGAAGGTTGGAGGGTTGGAAGTACATACCTTGAACTGAGGAGTTTTAGATCATCGACTTGCCAGGTCTTGAGCTTCTTATCATCTCCTGAAGTTGCGAGGTACTTTCCGCAATCACTCAACGCAGCACAACGGATGGGACCTGGTGCGATTTGATCTTCCTCACATTTTCCGGTTGAATGTAGGACATCACCCGTGCTGAAAAGTAGTAAGTGTCGGAATGCAAAAAAGAAAAAATGTGCTACTTAGTGTCAAGGACTTGTATGTGAGGTCCTGCGATAACGATGGAGTGCTCTGATTGCCAAAATAAACGGGTGTAAGGGTATCGAGACATGTTGATCGATGATTGTCGGGCTAGCTTGAATCACTGGGCCGAGTACGTAGGATGATCCGAGTACCGACGGCCCATCAACTTGTTACAAATTGAACAATCGTTAACATTTCTTCAGCCATCTCTGACTCGACTTCTTCCTATTTGCAACTAATTTTGAAGGCGTCGTTATTGCGAATCATGCGCACCGCGATTCCAATCGCTTCTCGTCCCTTGGACCTAGTCTACTTCGTCTTTTTCTTGGTGTGTCCAATCAGTTGTCAAAAATCCCACATACTTAACAGAAATAGGTCCATATACCCGCAACTTTGCTCATTGATCTGCAAGCCCTGTATCCTCCTTGGTTAATACCGTATTTCATACGTGCTCTTCCACGACTATATATCCAAATGTCGAACGACCCGCTGATCGGAAGCGTCTTGGGATTGTTGGGAGATAGCAAGCCTTTTGTTTGGTTCAAGACCTTCCTTGCAGTTGAAGCGTATGAGAGTCCCTGACTAAATATTGTTCTCTATCTTAAACTGCGTCTACGTAGTCTCTTTCAATTTCCTGTCTTCATACTCGGAGCAAGAGGCCTTTGGCGAGGTGAGACATCCCTGAGTTGTATTCCTTGAAACGTGAATGTGTGTCTAATCAGCATTCAGATTCGCGATCCATATATGTGCTTCTCCTTGTATACGCCGCATCTACCACCACCACGACTTTACCATGCCTGTCTGTCTTGCTGGCGACGCCTACAACCAGTGCGCAGACCATAGCTAACAAAATAGTCTCTGTAACAACCTTTCAACGCTCCCTGCTGTTATCGAGCTACATTCCATTCTTCGTGATACCCTTCATAATGACGATCGATATGGCTTCTCGCCTGTCCAAACTGGTCACCACAGGGATAGACGCTGCTGATGAGAAGAAGGCGTCATAATGTTATCATAATGCAGTCTAATGTTTCCTTTCGAACCAAGACCTTTAGCCCCACTTAATAATGATTTTGTTTCATGATAGTTCTATGAGAGATACCACTTGACAAAATTAAACAAGTAGTTATGCGGTGAACTTTGGGTGAACTTCAAAATTTCACACCTGTGACTCCTCTAATTGGACATGATTATAGCAGCAGCAAGCAGCTGTAACCCTAGGTAAGTCAGTACTTGTGAGACTTCAGCTTCAGCGCTAAACTATCACCTCAAAATAGAGTGCTGTATTGGAGCAAAATCACGAAGTAGAAGGTAGGGCTCGTACAAAACCGACCAACCTCAAGATATTGCCAGTAGTCCCGTGACGCCGTGAGCCTAGTATCATACTACTCGCCCTTGTAAGTTGTCAAGCCCTCGTCGAAACCTTTGCTCCTCAATATGGTGGTGCTACCCCGAACCCTGTTTTTATACTGATCATGACCTACATCACAGACCAAACGCACACGCAAAGTTGGTGTCACGGGAATATATGGCACTGTGCAATGTGCGTAGTATAATATGTTGCTCTGTTGTAGGAGGTGTTATCTCAGGTGTTTTCATTGTAGTGTTATGGTGCTTCGGCGACCCACCTCCCTGCGTACCAAGCAGGTGAAGAAGGTATTTTTTTTGCTCTAGGATTATTATATCTGTTGACCTGCGATCTTCAGATGAAAATCACGCAGCACGCCCAGTACACCTGCACCTGGTGACCTTATGCAGTAAGGTTAGTGAAAGATCTAATGTGCACATGTGCTGGCCATTCTCATCTCGTCACAGGACAGGGCTCCATGATTCATGAAGCATACCGCTGTTAGTATCTGGCATTGCAACTCTGGCAAAAAGATCATCGTTGGAGGTGCATGGACAGTATCGACGACTGCGGCGGCTACCGTACGGAGGTGAGTCACCCCATTCACATTGTTGGGCATCAAAACTGGCTATCTGCCTAGCACCGTTCGTCGTCTGCAGGAGTTGACAGTGGCATAGATGAATTATCATGGATTATCTCGCCATGCTTTCCTTCACTTTGTTCTATATATCTCAACCCCATATTGTAACAGGAGGACAGTGAATATCGTTTGCATATAGAGGTGTACCGTGAAATCACCATCAGGTAGAACGATGTAACCGTTAGTTTTTATTGTAGTATTGTCATGATACCTATGGATAGGGACCAATTCATGAAAAATACAGGTGGTCGCCATATAGCACTGGAACGAAAGAACGCAAAAGGAGCAATGAGAAGTAGTAACCGGATGTGAGCTTGCGTCAGTGTTGTACGGCGTGCTGGAAGGCATAGATGGTATCCATGCATGGCTGATAGTGTCGTGAAACACAATGGAAGAGGTCAAAAGGGTGAACACGAGCCGGCGGCTATCCGTGCTCATGTGTTACTATTAGATGATGCAAGCTGCATACTCAGGCTGCCCTCAACTCGCGTGAACAGTTTACTTTCCGAGGCATGAATATGTTTCTTCAATCTTGTAAAGTTGCACGGATTGCTATTGAGAATCAAGAAATTGTATACATATGCTGGAGTGATATATACATCGAAAGGTTGTCGAAAGGAGATAATAATGAGATTAAGTTAATAGACCGTCGTCTGAACCATCTACTTCATCGGTGGGGCTTAAGCCCTCTTCCTCGCCATTGTCATCTTCTTCTTCGTCATCGTCATCGTCGCTTTCTTCCTCACTTTCATTGAACATAAGAGAAATATACTCATCCCCGAGCCGGGCATCCTCAACTGCGACATGCTGTGAACTCAAAACATCGTCAGAACTAGTATCAGAACCAGGAATGACAGTGGAAGAAGTAGCAGCAGCAATATCCGAAGTCAATGAGGCTGTTGGCACTGGAGGCTTGCGGTTGCGGTTGGCACGAATAACGTGCGGAAGCTTGCATCCTTTTGTCGAACAACTTCCTTTCTCAGCAAAGTCTGGGCACTCTCTGATATGTTGCATCTCGCAGTCGAGGCCCTTGGCACAGTAACCAAGTACTGCGAAGTCGCGACACACGCCGCGTTGCTGTCCCACACGGACGTGAGGAAAGTGACAATTTTCTCGAGTGCACCGTCCGTTGTTGGCAAAATGCACACAGAGAGGCGTCCGTTCAGGGGTCGGCTCGTGTGAGAGGTTACAGGTTTCAGCCGTACTGGAGCAGTTGCCATGCAAAAAGTTCCAGCAGATGGCGATCTTGTTGGGGTCATGCTGGTACATACAAGTCAGACCGCGGCTGCAGGCACCTGTTGCAGCACAGGTATTGGGTGAATACAGATTTAGCAAAGGTACCGTGAAAAAAGAGGCTGGTCACGCACCTGTAGTTGTGAAGCGGGGGCAGGGTTTGTCCAGGTATTTCATGCGCTTATTTCTGCGTCTAGTAGATGTCATCAGGTTGAATCTGTAGCAGAAACTTGATCGGTGGACGGACTGTTGAGAACCTCGAGTGTTATCTAGAGTCATGTTCCGGTTTCTTGACCGACGCTGACGAGCGCGGGACGAAGTCTTGGGTTTGTATGCACGGCCAGTCGGGATCAAGTGCCCTGTTGTTGTTCTGGAAAAATCTACTTGCTGGGGAATCGGCCGAAGTGGAGCCTTGAGTGGAGCCGATGGAGGCTTTGGCACTGTAATCGAACATTCCGCGGTTACAAAAATGCAACTAACCCGTAACCAGATACTGACAAGGAAAACAAACTCACAATCTTTGCGCACGAGAGATCTGGTTGACGATTCGAAAGTCACGCCATCGATAACAACGTCATGGGTAGACGAGGCTTGAGGTGGACGGGGTGGTTTTGTAGGCGGGCGGGTATACTTTGTTGCTGGTTTCTGATATTCGGAAGGTCTATAAAATGCTGGCGGTTTATACTTGGGATTAAGATATGCGTTGCTCCTGGGGGCTGAGAAGGATTCAACGGATTGCTGAGTCGATTTATGTTGACTGATGGCACCTGCGTGGCTTGTGAAAAATAATGTCCCAATAAAAAAAGTAATCTGACCTGTTAGTCGGGCGATTTCTTCCTTCAGCGCTGCGTCCGATGTTGAAGCCATGATGGATGTCGAAGAAGAAATTGGTCAGCTCCAAATGATGATTAACCAAAGTTGGAGCATGACAAATATAAGTACATACACAGTCACTGCAAGTCTGCAACCTGAGCTTGAACTTCCTAATCCTACAAAGGCATGATGGCTCGACACAAAAGACCTAACAAACAGCAGCCTTCTTGCAAGGTACCACTGTCACGGACCAAGCCTTTGTTCTTCTTGAGCTTGTTTGCTGCGGTTTTGTGGCTCTGGATGCCGAATCATTTTAAATCAGATGTGTCGGACAAGGTCAACGACGTTCTGCGTACACCAATGAACTTGTCTACATCACCCATCGAAAATGACTCTCTGACAGCTATCCTGCCAGTTCTTCCACATTCTTTTGAAGGTCTCGAAGCTTTGTTGTCCCCGTTTCTCGTTCCTTCGGACACCGTTCGAGAAGTCTTCTTGGTCTGCCCACAAACAATCCTTTCAGATGCTCGACGGTTACTCAAGAAGATCCTGTCATACAATGACGCCGTTGACCACCCTAATATCTCACTGTTACCCTACACAAGCTCTTCGTTCTACAACAGTACACTTACAAGTGCCGTGTTTCGAGTTAGAACGGAATGGGTTCTTGTTCTCGACAGCCATGGCTTGCGAGGCCTCAGCAGTGGACAGCAGGCCTATTTACTCAGTCCACTATCCATTACCCTGCCAGTCGGACCTAATGGCTTCCTCCGATTTCCTGCCAATTTCAGTCGTATACTTGCGACTAGCGATTTCGAGCCTGCCGAATATCTTATCCCTCCCTTCGTGGCACCCACCTATCTATTCCCTCACATTTTTTCGCATCTCGCCGATTCTGATCCTTGGCTTGCTTTTGGCGTGCACGTTGCGAAGACTCATCTCGAGAAGATAGGAGGGTTGGTTCTTCCATCCGATATCAGCAACCTCCAATGTTGCGCACAAAACTTTCACCTTCTATCCCTCGAAACAACTCAGATAGAGCACAACCAGACAGGGATTCTATCAGCGGATAACAACAGTCGCACGCAAAAACGGCCGACATCAGCTTTGGGTCATCTCGTTCTGGCAGTTCCTCATTTAGAAGATCTCCGTGCTTTCATGCCTGTTGTCTGCAGACTCCAGTCGGTTGGTCATACTATATCGGTCTTGCTGTACCAGGCGTCATCGAGCGATACCATCTATTGTTCTTCTGAGGGCTGCGCTCTTCAGTGCTCAACCCTTTCTCACACGGTTCCGACCTTGCATAGTTGGCTGGATTCTCTGGATGCTTCACCCGATGTTATCTTCGCTTTGGATATTCAGGATTTTTTATCTGCTACGTTCACGATGGTTCTTCTACACGAGCCCTACCGTAAAACCACGTTCATTCGATTGCCTCGAGCTGACATACCACACTCAGAGTGGATCGGTTCACTCACCCTTCGTGAACTTCGCAGTTAGTAACGAGCGTCATTCTCATCGTTATTATCTAACCGAGAGCAGACTGGAATGTACCCGAAATCACTATTAGCGTCATAACCGATCATAGACCTCACTCTTTGCATCGGCTGCTGACGTCCTTGACCCGTGCTCGGTACTTCGGAGAAAGAATCGGACTGCGTATCAATCTGGAGCAGACTGCCGACTTCGAAACCTTGAGGGTCATACAAGATTTCGAATGGCCGCATGGCGACGTCTTTGTCCACCGCAGAGTCATACATGGCGGTCTCCTCCCTGCTGTCGTCGAGTCTTGGTACCCAAATTCCAACGATTCTTATGGCTTACTTTTCGAGGATGACATCGAGGTGTCTCCCTTGTTCTTTGCGTGGGTCAAGATGACTGTCTTGCGATACCGGTAAGTTAACTACGAATTTTAGCAAGCTTTCCCATGATCAACACATTTTCTGGAGATATGGTGGACCCGAAAATATCTCTCCGTCTGTGTTTGGCGTCAGTCTTTATCAGCAAAAAATGATCGAACTCAGACCAGAAGGTCGGAGATCCTTCGATGCTAGGGCGCTTTTCACCACCGATGGCATCCTGAACCCTAGCACCCCATACTTGTCCCAGATACCCTGTAGCTGGGGCGCAGTCTACTTTCCAGAACACTGGCGCGAGTTTCATGACTACCTCTCGATCCGCCTCTCCGAGTACTCTATGAAAATACAAGAGAATGTCATTCCCGACATCCGCTCCAACAAGTGGGTCAAGTCGTGGAAGAAATACTTCATTGAGCTCGTCTATCTTCGTGGCTATGTCATGCTATACCCGAACTACGCCAACTTCACATCACTATCGACTAATCACCTCGAGATTGGCTCCCATGTCAAAGACCAGCCAGAGGAAGAGTACCTTCGCAAGAAAGCGTTGTTCATGCTTCCCTTAATGCCGTTGACGAATGCCTCACTACCACTTTTCCTCGGTCTGCTTGACCTGCCAGAGCAGAAACTTCCTTCCTTATCTTCCTTGCCTGTTCTAGATCTCATGGGAAAGCTTTGTTTGGCATCAAAACTCTTGGAACGAGGCACCAAGCGTCGGACGGAGCTTACTGGCTGCAGTGCTACCATCTCTTTGACTTACGACGCTCGTGAGCTGATGTGTCTTGAGGAGTTCACTTGAATGTCGAACAATTACTGGTATGCATTTATCGTAGCGGCCCGCACTACTCTTTATCGTTGTTTGTCCATTGGAAAAGTTGTGCAGTCTCAAAAGATTTTGACATTTCACTATACACTGGCAAAGACAAAAATTGATTCAATCTAAGGTAATTAAGTAAATGAGGGGCCCATTTTACTTGAATGAGTGACAAGCCGTGAGTAATTTTATCTTTCTAATGACGCGAGCAATGATAGTGATACATGATGAGGTCCGAACCACAGCTAGAATCACACCGAGATCTGTGAACTGTCCAGCCCAAGCGCGTGGAGGAAGAGGTTGACGTTAGCCAGTTTCGTCTGTCGCTCCTCTTCATCTGCTACCCAGCCCTTGCTGATACTTGTTACGATATCCAGTACTTTTTCGCGGAGGCTGGTGACAAGAATAGATTGTTGGTCAGAGGAGGCGTGCAGTGCAAGCGCAGCAAGGAATTGCCAGACGGGCTGGTCAAGGATGTCTGTAGGAGGAAGGGGGGCCGCTACAGTGAGGGGTTGGGTAACAAGACGAGTCGAGGGAAACAAGAGCACGAAATGGGGCATCAAAAGTTGAAATAGATGATCAAACATGGTTTGCCTGCGAACGATCATATTAGAGTAGACTATTTTTGCAACTGGAAGATTCTATACCATTGTTGAGCTTCCGCAGGCGTTGGTATTTCTGAGGATTCTTGCGCACTACTCATGCCCTGTTTAACTATCTCGACTCGACTCAAGAACAACGTTAACATGGCAATCCCAGGCTGAGTACGATGGATAAGTGACTCCGTGTATGATGAAATAAAACCCTCGTACCCGAGTCTGAGCAGAGACGACAATGTTGGTGCGATCCAAGAGTAATCCAAGCAGCCCGGTAATGACTCTCAGCTCAGCCTTCGCAACCACAGGTAAAATACTCTGCAGAACACTGCCCAAAAAGGCTTGTGTCTGTCGCTCCACATCCTGACGCTCGGGGGTTTCCTCTGGTGAGTCGAGAATAGCTGCACGCTTGACGACATCAAGCTGAGAGAAGCAGGCGACCAAAAGCGTAAGAAGCGTGAGCATCCTAGGAGGCGCAATGTGGCGGCTGAGCCGCGGCAGAATTTTTTTCCCCTTAACCGGGGTAAGTAGAGACACAAATGGATGGGGGTCACTAAAATTGTATGTCAACATAAACGAAACAGTTTCCAAGCGTGCTATAACGCACCTCGTTTCAAGAGGTAACATGACCTTCAAATTCATCCATATTTGCTCGACAAGATCATTGTATGTCGCTGACCTAAAATATTGTCAGTGCTGTTTCGCAAAAAAAAAAAAAAGAATACCATGAGACAAAAGCTTCACCGTCCTCCTCATCCTCTTCTAGAGGTTGATCTCGCCTGAGTTGCTCGATATTGAGGACCAGATCATAAAGTCCCTCCAACACAACAAGTGTTTGCCGTTGGGTGAGCGGGTCCTTTCGCACCACGCCGTCGCTCTAGATACAAAACGCAAATAGTTCACATTAGATACATTAGAATGAAGGTATCAGCACGCACTCCAGCAGCTTGTCCAAGCGCTTCGCGACCGAGTTTCGCAGCCTCTTGCGCGGCACCGTTTCCATCTTCTTTGGATATGTGAGGATGGGTACCAGACATGGTAGGAGTTGCTGAAGAAGCATCAACCTGCAGAAGCTGTCGCGGTGCAGCCTTGTAGCTACGGCCGGACGTTTTACCAAGAGCGCCCTGGAGACTGTGCAAAGCTTTCGAAACGCTGAGCGTCAGATGAAAAGAAAGGCCTCGTGGAAGACGTACAGTGCAATCCCTTTTCCTTCTCCCTAAGTCGTGCATTGTTGACGATCCGTTCAACCTGCGCTTCCATCTTTTGCATCGCACTCTGCCTTCTGCCACTGCCCTTTTGTGCTAATCCAAGACCAACGCCGCCACTGGAGCCAAATTTGATCACGCGCTCATCCTGCGACTGGAGTCCCAATCGTGAACGAAGAATAGCGCCATAAACCTGAGCGTAGAAGTCTTCGGCATAGGGATCCTGCGTAACGAGCTGCGAGACTTGGATACGAGTAATAAAATCCTTGTCGGATTGCGTCATTAAATCATTGTAGCGAGACTGCAAATCGTCATAAGCGTGAGGAAAGTGAACGGATTCGCGGGCATCACCATGTGTGCTATCTTGGCAGCCTTGCGACGGCGCCTCTCCTCCATCCGCTCGGTTTCCATGATCTTACGCATGGCCTCAACCCGTAACGCTTCTTGCTCAGCCTGACTGATGCCCTGCATATCTCGCATGAACTCAACTTGTGCCATCTCTGACAAAAGTCTCTGTTGCAGTTGGATGCTCTGGGGCATATACTGAATGTTTTGCTGATTGAACAGTGCATACTGAGAGTCGATGACAGGAGAATGCGTGCGACGTTGTGTGTCAGCGTAAGGAGACTGCCTGCGCGCAAGCAAATTCGGTTGTTGCTGCTGCAACTGTGATAGTTGCTGCGCGCGAAGCTGCCGTTCCAGTTCTTCCATACGGAGGCGCTCTTGAAGATCTTTCAGTCGCTCTTGTTGTTGACGCTCCTGCTCTTGTTGGAGAAGGAGTATTTGCTGTTGGTGTTGATGCTGCTGATTGAAGCGAGGGGAAGGTGCAAGATGAGGGACCACCCGCGGAGTGGACATTCGGACTTGCTGTTGCAAGCGAAGCTGCTGTTCTTGTTCTAAACGAGCTCGCATGCGATCTGCAAGCAAATGTTCCTGTTGAAGCCTCTGCAGGTCTTGCCGTTCGAGTTCTTGAACGCGAAACTCTTCTTGTCTGTGTGACTCTTCTTGTCTGCGAAGTTCTTCCTCTCTTTGCAACTCTTGCTGCAGCTGAACTTGCAGAAGCATCTCTTCCTGCAGTTTACGCTTCTGCTGAGCAGCCCGCATTTCAGCCTCAATCTCCTGCAGAGTGCGAACACCTGTCTGGTTGATACCATGAGAGATGGGCTGTTGTTGGCTGAGAGGCCGATGGTCCACGTATGCATTGAGCGCTGGGGACCTCGAGGGCGGGAACGGAGATTTCATCAAATTGGAGGGCACACGTTGATGACCCGCAGTACGAGAAAGCATAGAGAACGGCGATTTGTCGTCCCATATTGACTCAAGGGATTTTGGAGCTGGAGAAAGCCCTGTAACGGAGAATGTTAAGAACCGAAACTGATTGGATGTATCTGACCGCATACCTCGATCACGAGAATTCGACGCAGGTTCTGTTCGTTCAACCACAGGTGTCCGCTCTCTGGAAGGCTCTGCAGTAGGAGTGAACCTGCCACGTGTAGCTCCAATGGGCGTAGGAAGTGTTTGACTTGTAAAATCGAAATCTTTGCCTGGTTGCAGCAGAAATTATTGTCACTCCTTTGCCCTTGCTAATGACGATTGCATCTCACCGACAGCACCTGTCTCTCCAAAGGTCTCATCATTCAGTTCATCACCGCCCTCAAGGAGTGCATCTCCTAGCCCGTCATAGCTCTCTTCACCCCAGGTGTAGACCGCAAGGTCCTCGGTTTCCTGGAGGCCGCCTTCCAAAAATTTCTTCTTTTCTTGTTCTAAATTGCTTCTTTCGAACCCAAAGAAAGACATAAGAAAGAGAGAAGAGTTCTCAGCGAGCTGATGAATCTGATTGCGAAAGTTGGAATCAAGACTTACAAGCCATCTCCCCGACAAACATGACCATACACAGACCACTTGCTGCCAGTCAATTATTCAATCTCAACGTAAATTCGTGTGCTTCTCCAACGCTTCTCAGATGTGACGATGGAATAAAGTTTGATTGGCACATCTTTCAACTACAAATATTTCCTACATTTACCACAAACGTGTTATTCTCGTGCTCACTTACATGACGCCATTTCATGAACCTCTTTCAAAAAGTCTAGCAACGTGCTGGCGCTCCAGGCTTGGGTATTACACGAGTCGGCACAATATTGACCATCCTTATTTGTCAGCTCGGGGATGCCAGCCCAAGAGTCAGTCTGGATGTGATGCTTAGGGGTGAGTAGAATTTTGTGAAGATAGTGAAGGGTCTGAGTTGAATCCTGTCGATGTCTGTTAGCTCGCAGACCGTGACCGCCCATGAAACTCTGTACTGACCTCTTTGCCTGCACCAAATCGTGTGTCGAAGTAAAGGTAAGCGCGGAGGAAATATCCAAGCGGCCAACCCCATTCAGGACCCTTCAGAACAAGCACGCCGCTTAGACACGTAACATGACTCAATCATCACTCAAACTTACATTATGATAGTTCAGTCCCTTTGCAACACACCGGTCCGTGGTGTCATTAGAGTTGTCATATTGAGGCCGATATTGCATGTCACTTGGATCCAAGGTTTTCATGCCAAGTGGGCTTCGTAAAACCTGGTCAGCAAGGCGGAGTGCATGCAGGGCATGCTGAGGATGGAATAGCTCTGGCGCTACAGTCATTGCGATCGGGAAATTTGGTCTGAACTGGTAATCAGACCATTCTCGACCTGGGCCAGAACCATACACATCCTTGTAGATGCCCCTTCTATTGATGATAGTAGAATCCACATCATAGCGCGAGTCATCGCCGGTGTCTGTTTAAGAATAAGAATGACGTGTAACAACGGAAATAACTGTTAGTCTTACTCAAGGGAACATAGTAGCATCTTTCGAAGGACTGCTGTATGAGGTCTCCCCAGGTCTTGTAGGAAACAAAGGTATCCTGCCCATTGACTTCAAAGATCACGTTAGTGGGCCACATAATGAGTCGGTAAAAGAAATCCCACTTGTCGCTTCAACACCCTTGAATGGGAAACTTCCAATACTCGACAGTGTATCGAGCCATCGCAGCGTACTTTTTAGCAAACCGGTTATCTCGACCGGTGCGCCGTCTCTCGGTGTCCCAGGAACCCCCTTCGTGCCCGCCTTCTCAGATTCTCCCATCTTATCCATCCAAGTCCCACAATTGTGCTGGTTCCCCCCGCAAATAAACCCCGTTTGCCAGTCGACTCGAATGTTTATGTCGAATCCTTCATCCTTCATCTGCATGTCAAGGTTGGGACCAGCGTTATGCTCGCGGAATGCGATTCCACTTGCGTGGCGCTGAAGTATTTCTTGGATGATTTCAGCAAGAGTGCTCGTGTATGTGTACGCGCGCGGATCGTCCCATGCTACCCAGGTATCATCTGCAGGGAATCTACGCTTCACTGGCTCCGACAGGATCGACAGACCATCAGGTGCGCTGGCCACATAATCTTGAATATTTTGCAACATCCACCATGGTGAATCCCTCGAATTGTACCTGCAAAGACATCAAACAATGAAAATCGTTTCACACGACTGACTGCTGATTCGTACCGTGGTTTCCTGAGGGAGTCCAATAAATTGGGAATCAATCCGTGCTTCAAAGTTGACGCAAAAGCGAGGATATGTTTTCTAGCGCCCTCGAAATTGCCCGTAGTCAAAAACAACCCCCTTAAAGAGATGAAGACGTCGCGGCCCCAACAACGTGCCCATCCTGTGCCGAAATGCGGCAGTCCTGCTGCCAGTGATGGAGTAGATTTGGCCGGATCAAGGGATGCGGACTGTACCCTTCCATGCATCTGAATGGCGCACATCGCAAGGTTCTGTGTGAAATCATGCCCTGTATATACGAACTCAGAGCATTGTTCGATCGCTGTATGGCGAGCGGCTTTGTATGCAGTGGATATCAGGATGGCGAAGTACTTTGGACGTAAATAAGGAGGAACAGAGGCCTTGATACGCTCCATCCGTTCTTTAAACCACTGCGCGGGCTGCAAAAGTTTCGGGAATTGGACTGTTTGCCTGGTGAGAAGATATCAGCTACGCCAGATGCAAATAAGCAGATAACCACCCACTTTTGCAGTCTTGAATAATATAGTCGAGCGCCCAAAGTCCTTGCCTGAAATTTTCGCAAAGTGGATGCCCAAGATCATTGGACTTCATGATGTGCCGAAGAGGATGCATCCATCCCTCCAGCCCACAATAAGTTAGCTTAACAAAACCTGGGACATCATAGGCACCAATCACGCCGCTGGTCGCATCCCTTTCTTCACCATCAGCGCGATATAATACAATGTTCAAATCAACAAGGTCCAGGTTGCCAAAGGCTTTGTCCGCATCCGAGGCACAGAAGGTGTCCAGCTCATCGTCCAGGTTCTGAACTTCAACTTCAAAAATGAGAATACTTCCAGGCGGGAAGTAGTCTGGGACTGTGATCCTGCAGAACGACGCAACATCATGCGATATCTGTGGGACGACAACATTGGGAATTTCAACCAGCTTCCCGGGAAGCCCTCGGATTGTGTTGGAATCATATGGCGTTTCGTATGATGAAAATTCGATCGAAGCGCCATATATGAATCGAGCTCTGGTACGAGACAACTCTATAGTGTTTACTATAAATCGGTTAGAGTGAGTCATGTAAATCGTACAGTAGCACGCACCGACGCCGCGATCTTTTGAGCCCTTTGAGAATGCAGTATGGGCAATGAGTAGATAACCCTTCTGAATGGTCGGATGCATCCGCTGAACGAGGATATACTTGTTGACTGTTAGCACCTGCACGAAAGAAAGCCAAAATGGTATAATTACATCACCCTCTTGCCAGTAATGGCCCTCCTCGAATCCACCAAGAATCATTTCCCGATGCAAGCCATTCAGCAATCTCTTTGCCCTTGCAATGCCCGAATTTTCGCCAAGCCGAGTTAGCTCGTATTGCCGCTTTTCCTCGACAAGATTAATTAGCTTCGGATATAGATCATCAAAACCTTTCACTGAAGCAATTGCACAGTAACCAAATGTGACAATGCCAGCGACGGACAGTGCATGCTCTGCAGAACGTTTGTCGAGATAGGACTCGTTGTCATGCGTGAGATCGTACATGAGTGCATGAGGCACAGAGCCGTTCAAAGGGCTGACGATGCATGGACGCGTTGGACCTTTTCCGAAGGGAGGATCGAGTTCTTCCATGTTTGTCAAGCATGCATTATCCATAGATCCTATAATGGGTACATCAACACCCATTATACAGCATAATGACCTGTGTGACTCACCGAGCGGTTTTCCAAGGCCGAATCTATACATGACTCTCGAGAACTCCTTGGGATCCCAGGCGTTACCTGCTTCCCTAACGAGACTGTTGATGCCCAATCTCTGCACGAATAGTAGATCCATCTCCTCGCTGCCCGTAAAAAGCTCGGCACAGACGTAAAGATCTCGATTGACGATACGAGCCACATCGAGCATTGCAACACCGACATGCGCCGGTGTTGAGTGACAATTATCGATACGAAAGCCATCGAATGTGGCTGCAAGCATCCTTACGTAGGACATCATATGCTCCCAAAGCCATGGATTGTCAGCTGGCCCCGAGCCATATCGAAGCTTCACACAATCGCCCCATACGATGACCTCGCGCCGGAGGTAAGCTTTTGACGGTGGGAGGGCAAAATTCTGAAGTGGGTCCGCGTCCCATATCCAACCGTTATTGGCGACACTATATTTCCCCTGGTCAAACGGACCAGGCGGTGTCAAACGAGTGAAATATGACTCTACAAGAGGACAGCTGCTCCCACATTAGCACGTACAGTTGAGATATATTTTCGGTTGCTTACCTCGCTGAAATCTCACCAAGTTTTGGGCCATTCTCCTCCAGCCGAGTATACTTGAGGCGATTCTTCACGTGATCTAGAGCAATCTTCGTGTCCTTTTCCCACTCCTCGTAGAGGGGGACATTGATCACGTCAACCACGCGATCCCAGATTTCCACCAGGATATCGGCATCGTTTACGATGTTTACGGACGCTGCTTTGAGGAGTCCTGCTGCCATCTCGCCATCTGAGCGAGCGCCATAGCGCGAACCCAGTTCGCCGAGACCTGAAACAACGGATGAGGTCTTAGCAATTTCGGCCAGTGCAACAACAGATTTTCCAGCAACGTCAGGGCCCCTCCATGGTACAATTTTCCCATTCTTTATTGCATCTTTCACCACTTCTTTCTCCCGCTCGACATCTAGGACATAGTACTGCCACATGTTATGGGCCTTGATGGATTCAGCCAGGCCAGTCATGAGCACGTCAATGTCGGCTTCAGATCGAACTTGTGTAGGGAGGCCCTTTGATGCAACAGACGAAGAAAATTCCAGGATCACGGTATCAAGTTCGAAAGCAGAAGTCAGATGGGGGGTATTTTCCGGACTGTACCCTGGAACAGTGTTAGTCTGCGACTTCCGGTACCTTGTTCCTGTTACTCACCAGCCTCTGGGTGGTCGATGAGCCAGGGACTGTCGCTAGCAGTGTGGTTTAGCACGACATCGGTCAGGTTTAGTAGACCGTATTCCTCTTTCGCCACACGCAAAATCTCCTTAACCTGAGTATCGATAGTACCTGGATCAACGCTGCTCATAAAGATGGAGGGATCATAATGTTTCTGGTCCTTAATGGAGTATGGGCTGTCACTTGAGCCCCGTTCCTGTAGCGGTGTCCAATGCAACATGGTATAACCACGATCACCTGCCTCGGTGAAATGTTCTCGCCAGTTTGAAATTGGGCCCATCCATTTCGAAACAACGGTGAGTATAGCCAGGCCGTCCAGAGGCAAGTACACGATCTCCGGTGAAAGAACTGCGCCGCCCTGCGCAGGACTCAGTGGCTTCATGTCTGACGAAAGAATTGGGGATCGCGCTTTGGTGCGCAAGATTGGATCTATATTAAAGTAACCTTCTCTCCCTTTGGCACGTTCTCCGGGAACTTCGCCATCGTACTCGACCCAATACTTGAATGCTCCCGCATGAGAGATAGGTAAATCCACTTGAATAGGTTTCGAGAAGTCACTGGGAAGCCTATAGAAGGTCTAAACTCGGTATGCCTTGAATACGTACGTGAGACTCACTTGCGCTCAACAAACTTGTTTCGTTCGAATACGCCGCCATCCAAAGGGAAATTGGTCTTGAATACGCCATTCTTTGAAGCTGGTGTTCCTGCGTCAAGAGAGACGCGTAAAATATATGGAATATATGCTGGCGGAAGCCGGATATACTACATGATTTTAACTTGATTGTGATGGCTCAGTGACAGCACTCACAGATCGGTCTTTGTTAGGCCCACCATCGGGATCCAATCTTAGCTCGTAGACGGATATCGGCCGCTCATCTGCACTCCGTTCACCGAGAAAAAACTGCTTTCCTTCATCTGCTGGAGTCTTTGGCGTAACTACATCGTTATCGAGCGTTTGGAGTGCGTGGGATGTGCTTGAATCTGTCTGTTTTAGCTGTAGGAAGGATGTGACCTGTTTTTGTGCCACTTTATCAATGTCCTTCGATGCCTTCGCCATAACACTGAGTGAGTTGGTAGGGAAATGGGAAATGATAAGTGAAGCGGAGCCGCTGAGCTTGATATAGACCTTTTATGTTTTCATGGCAAATACCTTGTAGTGACGTCAAGAACTGGCCCGCCAAAATGGGACTTCCCCTGTTATGCGACGAATTCTCACGATATCAATCGATAAATCCTCAGATCTTCATGTTCTAGAGGATCATTTTTGTATCTCACGTACGTCTTCAACATTTGCCCCAACCATTCCATCTAGTCTCACGATGATAGCTTTTTCAGCCATTCTATGCACAATAGGTATGCCAACTAGTACTACACCATCGACACCACTCCACAGCGATTTGAATCGTTGATCTTTCTGTAAGCAACACCCCTTGGAAGCCTTTCCAATTTGGTCCGACTTGGAATGGTTCGGCCTGCATAAAAGTATTGGGGAAGATGAGGGCTGTGTGATAACACGGTTTAAAATTATCAAACAACCTCCATTCGGATCCGGATAATGACCCGAAGGGTTCCAGTAGTCGTACACGGTTCGCTAAGCGCTTCAACTTATCCCGACGGATCTTCATTGAGGTGTGGTGCGGTTGCTTCTGTCCCCATTCTTGAGATTCCTCTACCCATTTCGATATTCTTCATCACCATCCAACATTTCAGGCTGCTCATCAGCCTGATCACATCACAAAATCGAGCTAGAATGCTTTTGATAGATAATTTTGGTAAAATCGAATTGAATATACTTAAGTAGTAAGTACATGTACCCAATTACATAAGACAAAGCCAAGGACGTTGATGCCAGTTAACTGAGTAGAACACTAGTACTGTGGTACTTGTGCACATGATTAACTGTCTTCTAATTCTGCTTGCAAACTGCTAAAACTTTGCGGACCATGATCGGTCAATGCTATCTCATGGCAAACGTCGCTAAATGCCTCAAGGCTATCGGATCAGACAATTCCCGCACCTCAACTATTGACGAAAGTTCCATTACCTGGAACATTGCAGTCATCCACCACGTCCACACAAATTAACTGCAGATGCCAACATCATGATTTATCAGATCGAGCCATTCTTAGTTTCAATGACCAGTCTACCAATGTTCGCATTCAAGGTCCAAGATGAAAATCCCTTCACTCGTCTCGTTAAACCTTTGTCTTAACCTTGTCTGGGCACTCCTTCATGTTCATCCAGGATCTATTTTTGGTAGCCTCTCAGTTTTCTTTTACCTTCTTGAGATTGCAGACAAGATTCTTGTCACACATGCTACAACCACCCACGAGTCTTCCAAGACGAAACGAACCAATGAACCTTCACTTATGATACATTCTACAGGTGCATACCATCATTATAGGCGATCCTGCGCTTGTCATATACTTCGCCTCTGGGACGATTATCAAATATCATGTGACGCAGCCTGAGCTTTTCGGTCCACATAGTGCGCATCTAGATCTTGTCGGACGTCGTTGAAACGATCAATGTCGAAAGTTGGAGTTGGGAACTGTACGGTTCGGGACCTAGGTGTGTTTTGATAAGGTCCATCGTGCGCATATATACTTATAATCGTAGTACAGGCCCGTCTTCGGTGATTCAATATTCAGCAGGGGCAAGAGTTACTGACATTACAAGGCCGCGCCGTGAACAGAATAGTATTATTTTTGTATCCTTCAAGCAACACGTCTTATATATATCTACAGACATGCATTCCTAGTTGAACCGAAACCACGCCAACTCTATAATTGGACTTGATGCACGTTTAATTGACTTGACCAATCACTAGCAATTTGCACGTCCCATACTGCATCGATGTGACAGAAGAAATACAACTCACTTTGCAGTGAAATTGGTTCTTTCATGCAGGTGAGTCGTGTATCGAATCTAGGAAACCTATTGATACTCACGCAAACCCCGAAAAAGCATTCCCAGCATTGCTCGTCACTCGTGCAAGACGAAGGACATTGATCGATGCCCGCATTAATGGGCGTGGCAGAGATTGATGGTATCAAAGCAGCGACAACGGCAAAGACAATTGCAGAGGAGGAGGATCTGGTGGTTGAAAATTCCTCTACAGATGAATGTAAGTTGTTAACCTGGAATCCTGGTACACCACACATATATTATATTATATTCGATATTAGAATAAAATGATGTATTACTGAAGCTCGCTGTATCCTACAGGTCCTCGCTGAGCCTGTGTGCAACCACCTTGGTAACCATGACCAGGGCAGGGCAGGGCATTACCGGTTACCGCTGGTCCTCAAATAGATGTTGTCGTTCTCGTCAACTTTACCATGGCCGGTGGGTTTTGCAATATACGTCATCTTGGTAACAACTTCAATCACAACTACAGTGGCATTTTCCAAGTTTGGAGGGGAATGATATAGATATGACAGAGATAAGTTGATGTTTTACTGATGGCCGGGAGGGCGGCATTCCCTGGTGTAATAGGTGTTAAGCAGGGATGAGGGAGAGTCCTTCCACCACGAGAGCGGGTTTCCATCCTAGTAGGTTGCACAGGTTCGTCAGGGCAGACCGCGATATCGATACTTGTTCAAAAAAAAAAAGGAGCTCGGTTCCGAGTTCCACTGCAGTAAGATGCTTCCGCAAATGTCCTTCCAAGATATCTTGAAGGTGTCCCGCATACACGTGATAGACAAATATTGAGCTATAATTTCTTGTTTTTCATTCAAGCCGGTCACATAAGGGTGCAGTACAGAAACATGTGTGGGGGCCGCCTTCCTCCAACACGGTGATACGTTCGAATATAGAAGCTGGAGAACAACGCTGTAAGAAGTGTCTACGACATGGCGGGAGACGACAAGAAGAGGACAGTCTACGACATAGGTATATATACGAAGTCGGCACTATCCGAACAACGAACGATGACGAAGGGTGAAAATACCAAACTCTAACATCGAAGGGGCGAGACTGGCTGCTTGTCCCTGTTAACATAATCTCATTTCCCCAAAGGAAATGGTGCATTTCCATGACACGAAGCTGCAACTCGTGAACGAGGGAAATTCGAAGCAAAACGCAAATTGATGTGCTGTAATCCCCGACAGATTCTCTGCTAGTAACTGTCCGATATCACAGGCTGACCATTTATGTAGAGTTAGTAAGTCAGTGGACAGCCCTTCTTCAAACCAGTGCAAAGCCTTGAAGCCGAAGATTAAAATGATTAGTGAAATGATATCTGCTGGAGGGAACAAGGCGACAAGTACCTGCTCTGGCGGCTACACACAGTGACAACATGAGCCTTCTCCTTCAGACGTTGGAGGATGTCGGAAAAGCTTCTTTGCGCCAAAAGAGAAAGATCCACCAATGTCCAAATTCTGATAGATCCTTGATTACAAGTCCACTGTGAATACAACGAAAGTATAAGCAGGAAGATGCCGCGGTGCTTCTGCTGAACGACGCAAATACAACGTGATGCTGGGGTAATAAAGCAGTAGTACTGTATGGTAAAATGGTCCGATGGGTGAACGACTTATCCCCAAAATATCCTGAACGTCATGGATCTTACATAGCTGGAACCATTGTCAGGGTTACAAGCTCGCGGAGATATAAAAAGCAACTAGCAAGTGGGGGACAGAAGAGCAAACTAGGCAAAACTTAATCATGTCGTTAGTGAAAGAGAATGTATCGATGAAAGAGACCTGCACTCACATTAACCAGCCAGCGATTATTTTCGGCGTTGTTGTTGCCACACTGCTAGGGGAACGTCTTCCTCCTCGCCCCGCTCTGTGCGGAGCGGAAGTGCAGGTTCTGCATGTGCTCTTGGTCTTCTGTTATGTGGTGTTGACATAACGGCATGAGCACTGGCTACCTTCCTGGTCTTTGTTTCAGCGGGGAGGGCTGGAGTAGCACCCGTAGTCGCAGTCGCAGATAATGAGCGTGTTGTAGCCCGTGTAGCTTGGACACGATTAGTGGCAGCGGGTGACGCATTCGCAGAGTATTTATTATGATTTTGGGCCGGTGGAGACCGCGAACGGCGTGCAGGAGCTTGCTGGGAAGTATTACTTGGGGCATGATTAGGTGGGGGTGATGGAGTTAATCGCGTGCGCGACAAGGGCGGAGCTCCAGGAGTGGATGGCGAAGTCCACGAGTCAGTAGGCTGCATAGCGTCAAGTGGAAACTGTTGTTGATCTGCCGCTCCAGGCCCCGAGTACCCGGGATACATGTAATTTGTTGATTGTGGCTGGACAATCTGGGGCGTATGAACTGGCGGATTTGACTGTCGCTGCATCCTTGGTGGACCGCCACCAAGTGGCGTCGGAGATGAGGAACCATATCCGTAGCTGGATCCATTGTACTGCTGCTCCATTTCTCTATGCTGCATCTCGTATTGAGGACCCTTAATTGGCATTTCAGCGACCCTTCGAGCTCCTTGCGATCCGCTAGGGGGCTTTGTAAGAGCGCCTCTCCTTTGAGACTCCTTTTTCTGTGGTTGCTGCTGCTGAAGTTGAAGCTCTCTTTCACGCTCAATCTCCCTATCTCTCTCAAGTCGCTCATTCTCAACCCTCTGCCTCTCTTCCGCTTCTCGACGTTCACTCTCCCTCTCTACCTGTTCATTTTCAGGATTGGACGCGGCCAGGGCGGTAGTAGCTGGTTGATTTTGTGCCACAGGAGTTGCCGCAGGGTTCTGCGTCTTGTTGATGACACCGAGATACCAGAACATCAGATTGCTGATGAGAACCTGCTCGTACAGCGGCCTTCGAGGATTTGCCAGCTTGATATGACTTAGTCTATAGATCGCGCGCTCCACGTGGATGGGATATCGAGCGTACACGCCTTGCCCGCCGGGCAGTTGTGGCGACGGCGAAGGAACATACTGTTTTGAAGATTTTGACTGGCCAAGTAAGGCAGTAGCAGCCTCTCGCCCAGACCCGTATGGATGCGGCTGAGATGCCTGCTCGTCTCCCTTTTTCTTGCTGCTGAACAAGGATCCGAAGAACCCGCCCTCCTTCTCCTTTTCCACTCGCTGCACTTCCTTCTCGCGTTCCCTATCCTTGCCGTTCTTCTTCCCGCCTTTGTCGCTGCCCCATTTAAACAGGCCCTTACGGTCCTTCTCCTTCTTTGGCACAGGGCTTGGGGTTTTCTGTGGGAGGCTGGATGTCGATATAGCTTCGGTAGATGCCAAGGTAGATGCATCGGGGGATGGCGTTCGAGACGACTCTTCGGAAGGAGAGGTCAGAGTAAGTCTCTGTGGTTGAGGGTGATGTAAAACTATCGCATTGGTGGGAGTATCCGGGCTAGGTTCGGTTTGGGTCGGTGGGGGCTCATCGCGTGCTGGAGAAAATGATAATAATGGGGGGTCGGAGTTTAGCGATAAGATTGAAGGAGCTTCACCATCAGGTACGTCACAGAGGTATGCTTCAAGGATGAGTGTTTCGTCTATGAGCACGTCAGTTTGTAAAGTATGGCCATCACTTGTAATGCTTTCGTTAGAAAGGGCACGAGGTCGTCTACCTGTTTCTGTGATATCACCGTGATCACTTGACGAGACGTGATCACTGGAAGACAGGTCACTGGAGGTACGTGGTTCTCCCTGTGCGGCAGCACGAGGCCTGCGTCCGGACCCAAACCGATGGCCACCGCCATCACCAGGTAAGGTGGTCTTCCGGATCTTAGTGCGCGCAGCTCGACGAAGAATTAGGCCGGGAGGAGGAACGATGATAGGTGCATCGACCTCATCTGGCATGTCAGGAATGTCGTCCATCCTGTCCATGGCTGAAGACAAGGCCTTGAGCAGATGCTAAGGACAACTCGAAGTTATTCTGCATACTGACCTGAAGGAGACACATTAAGGCTTAAACTTCGCCTGAGCACGTTCCTAAGTTTTGTAGGATCGTCGCTCTTTGAGGCCTCTTCTGCCAGTGTTTCCAGCCTTTGCAAGTCGCTGATAGTAAGCTGTGGCGCATTTGCAAGAGGTGTGCGATTTGGGCGCGAGGGGACGATCTTCTCATCCTCGTCCTCGACCTGGTCATTCTCTGATGGTTTATACTGCCTGCTGAGCATTGAACGTTTGCGTCCCAAACCTGTGGAAGGAATGCTCAAAGAATTTGATCGAAGAGGTCCAGAGGCGCCATCTGGGGGCGGAGTACGTGCGTGTTCCTTGAGAAAAGCGCTGAACTGGCCCGGATCGATTTCAGGATGGAAACGAGCTGGCACCCAGAAAAGATGAAAAGGATCATCTAAGCCCACGCTTCGCTCCTCTGAGCTAGAGCTGCCTTCGTGAGAGCTGCTGCTGGAGTCACCATCTGGTAACTGCTGGGGCGCAGTGGCAGTCCAGTAGCTAGATGTTGGTGAGGGTGGAGACGATGGGTTCGGAAGATCAGGATCAAGAATAAGAGCACCTGGACCGCCTTGTGCTGTAGAACGCCGCTTTATGTCTCGCAAAGCCTCGACCTCGCGCTGAATCTCCAACTGTGAGGGCTGCATGCCTGGGAGAAGCGGACGTCAAGAAGAAAAAGAGTGTCAGTAAGATAGCGCGGTCGTCGTGGACAGTGCTCGGACGTCGAGGAGGTTGATGATGAAGGCCACTAGTAAGAAGAGTGGCCGAAGTTGCCTTGCGGTGGTATAAATTTAACGCTTGCCAAAGCTCTTTGGCGCGGCAGCTACGGCATGTCATCAAACTGAGTTCAAACTGGCTCAAACGTGTTCTTCCAAGTCTACAAGATGATTACGCTCAATACGCTTAAAACAAAGTCAAATTACATATCAAGCCCTATGTCTGCTCGAAGGGCGACCTCAGTAGGTTATATGTGGCACAACTGCTTGGAGACTCTGCTTGATCAACCACGATAAAAAAAGACCTGGTACATGCATTCGGACCCGACGGCCGTCGGGCGTATGAGAACTCTTTTACGTGTCTTACTAACAATTCAACGCACATCAGAGTGTGCGTTCTGTGCAGTAGCTGTTTCACGACGCAGCTCCTGGACGACAGCCTGCATAAGTAATTGTCAGTCCCAAATTGCTTTTAGACCACTCGGATACTAGCATACTGCAAGGGCCTCTGGGTTGACACCACTCTCGATCATACCCACACATGTCGCGAGCGTCTCCTTATCAAGCTGTGTATTAAGCAGCTGAGAGATCTCATAGAGGGCTGTGAACCGCATTCATGAGGGTTGTAATACGGCGCATGTGTAACTTCGATAACATACTGTCAAGGGTCTGCTGAGCAGCACTAATTCTGTCTGCCTCTTTAGACGACATGAGGTCAACGCCTGGTTGAAGATCATTGAGATGTACCGCTATGACTAGATGAGAATTTTGACTTACGGGCCTCCTAGCTGAAGTTCAGTGGGGAAACACTTCCAAGGGACAGAAATCCCAGAAAGGAAATCAATATACGCAGAAACTTGAATGAGCCTGCAGCAGCCCACCTCCGAGTTCATGCCAATATGGCTCCCTCAAAAACACCCAAAAGCACCTCGAGGCCAAAGAAAGAAAAAGTCTTTCACCCAGACTCCCGCAAGGCCGGTCAGCTGAGCCGGGTCCAGCTGCGAAAAGCAAAACTCGCGGACGCAGCATCAAAGCGAACAAAGAAGCATTCTGCCCAGGGTGCGTATCCCATGTTGCGTTGATGTCACACATCTTCTCATGCGGTGAACCTCAGCCGATGTATACGGATTTTTCTACCATGCAATACCTCCAGAAGGCACGCTCTCCCTCGAAGAGCTACATTCCATCATTAGTAATGTGTGGTTAACACGCCATGACGATGAGCTCGAGCAGGAGAGAACTGCTCGCCGTAAGGGCCGACCAAAAAGCACCAAGGAGTTGAAGCTGGAGGAGATCAAGCTCCGTGAATCAGAACAATACCGCACAGGAATGGGTAAGATTGATTTGTTCATACTGCCTTGCCTTTGTTGATCATATTGCGCAGATGTGCCTGATCTTACACATGAAGCTACCGTTAAGCTATTCCGCAAATGGGATCAGACGGAAGTTGCTTACATCCAGCTCCTACGTTTCATCCGAATCAGCAGTGTAGATCCTACGTCTGCAGTCATATCAAAACAAGGGGAACACCATTCCCTCAAAGAATCAGTTCCTCCGCAAGCCATCGATGAAGCCATGGTCACTGATCGTGATGACACGCTCCTCATTGAACCCCCATCACGGTTCGCAAGCACAATGATGATGATGGATGGTCCACTTCCATAGATGAGACACAAAATTTGAATACCAATGTTGGCGGTATCTACTGTAAAATAATTTTACATGTCTCACAGATCGTACCAGTAAGCTAATCAACGTACACCAACCTCTCGCTAAATTCGTACCCTCCCATCTCGGTTTCTGTGGGGCTGAAAAGTGGACTATTCGGTGTCATCGGCATTCGTGGGATATCCAACTCCCAGTTCCTTTTGATAAATTACCTGGAAGCTTGATAACGCGCCCCTTTCCTGTATCAAGTGTAGTACAACCTGATATCCAGCAGTGATTTGCACAGGCCTCGGCCTCTGCACCTCCACGCGGAACTGCACTGACTTCAGCGCCGGCAGAAATCCAGGTAGATCCTTCGTATCATTTGTTCTGCACTTGAGCACACCTGATTGTTCCGCATGCATGAGGACTACGCAGACGCCCATGTTCACCAGCATTCGACGGCACTTCTCGCGTGATGTGAACCCGTCATGCGTGGACAAAAGCTAGTACGTTATTGGCTTGAACTTGAAAACACTATCAAGCCAACGCCGCGGCGTCCCGGGAAGAGTGAATGAACTGTCAGAAAACGCAGGTGAGACGGCGGCCGCGGTGTCGCCGCTGCCCTTCTTGCGTAGCTTGTTGAGCGGTAGCCCAATGATTTGCACACGGAACGCAGACCGTCTGTCAGCATCGTTGCTCCGCACAGATGACTTCTTGACAATTCCGGGTCCACTGACACTGAGAGATATATTCTCCTTTTCGTCGTTCGCGCCTTATATCCGCGTCGGATATGATCTCCTGGGGTGACGAATAGCCCCTGGTCTGCACAATGTTGCCTTTCCGATGCTTGTCAAATTCGATATTGACAGGTGTGGGTAGAGCTGAGGTGTTTCCAAGACCAAGACGGGTGTGCCTGCAGTGCGCGACTCCATTGCATTAAGATGTTCCACAATTTGCTGGAAAAAATACTGCATCTTATCATCTTTGAGTTCCGGGACTTCAATCGCAGGCGAATTTGTAGAACCAGCCGTGGGTGGTAAGGGCGATGTAATATATGACGACAAAGGAGAGCGGAGATCAGCCCCTGGATGTGGCAGCGTCGGTGAACACAGAGTTATACGAGGAGTGCCTGGTTGTATGCAGTCTCTATCACTATCATCGCTGTGCAGGGGAAGCGTGCGACCAGCTGCCCTACGCGGGGTCGGAGGAGCTGCGCGAGGAGGAAGGAACGAAGGCGCGCGTGCCAGGTGGGGTGTTTGGGATGTGATCCCAGTCATGCCCTAAGGGTCATTCCCGATTGATTTCTTCCTACGTATATTTCTTTGCACCATCTCCTCTTCCTCGTCGTAATTTTCCAAGTGCTTGTCCCGATAATTGGTGAGCAGTCGGTAAACGCCTTTTTGCCAGTTTGGCTCGGAGCTCTTGAGGCTAGCTTTGATGTCTTCCTCGGATGTATCGTGCCAAACCGTGCGGAGGTTCGCGAGAATATCTTGGTCAATGTCTTCAAGGTCAGAGAGAGGTCTTGCTATATCATTGAGCCTCGGCGTGCTCGCGTCCACAGACTTTGGCTTTTGGGAAAGGTAGAATGGGTGAGCGAGAATTTCAGGGATCGTGATGCGCTTCACAGCGTCCTTCTGCAGCATCTTTGTGATAAGATCCTTGGCCAAGAGATCGATCCCGGCTGGCATATCAAACTTTCCCGACTTGACTTTATCTAGCAGTGTTGGTAGGTCCTCATCATCGAACGGAAGGCGTCCCACAAGCAAGGCAAATAGAATCACGCCACAGGACCAGATATCAGAAGCGCGTCCATTGTACTCCTTCCCCATGATGACTTCCGGCATAATGAGGGCTTCCACATGCCGTCTGAAATAATCCATTTTTGGACCTGGCCTGCCAAGCAGCCATACCAAAGTCTGCGACCTTGATGTTCTTGTTTTGGTCCACGAGAAGGTTCTCAGGCTTGAGATCTCTATGCGCAATGTTGAGTCGATGGCAATAGTCGATTGCGGAGATGATTTGCTGGAAGTAGCCCAATGCTTCGAAGGTGTATAGCCGCCCCTTGTTGCACAGATAATCGAAGAGCTCGCTGGAGGTCTTCCACACGTCATAGAGGCGCATTATGTTTAGATGGTCGATGAGCTTCACATCACGATTTCACGTTCAATGCTGAGAAGTATATGCTCCGCGGAGTCGACAAGCTTGGTGATAGGGTTCACGAGGACGTTTTGTGACACAATCTTTACTGCGGCACATTGTCCTGTTTTTGAATGTCGTGCGATCCTTACACGGCCTAGTTGGGATCAGTGAAAGCGCATGGTTTGCCAGCAACCCAGATAGATACCTGAGCTTCCCTTGCCAATAGTCCTTCCAACCTTCCATAGTCCAATCATCTTTGGATCGTCCCCGCTACGATTCCGCCGCGGAAGCCTTGGATAGTCGTGATCCATAATGGTTATAAGGAAGATTGGGCTGACAGATTTTCGGGCAAAGAGTAGCCAAATAGAAACAAATAACACGCGAGTCACGCGTTTTGACCTTCTTGCCGCCAACCTCCACCATCCCCTACAAGGACTTGCAAAGTACTATTACAACCAAGAACAACATATTTGTTTTCTTGATAATGATGCAGCCTACGCCTGCACTGACATCGCATTCAGGCTCACCACATCACTAAAATTACTGAATCCAGAGTCCAGACATCACCTGATATGTTGAATTTTCTGACACCACCACCAACACTATCCAGTGTTTGACATGTCACCCCAGCATGCTGACATAAAGCACATTATCTATCAGACATATGTCAGACACATTCAGATACATTTACTGACATGTCTTGTATTAGAGAATTAATGTACATCAGTAAATCACATCTTTCTCACAGAGGTCACACACTTGGAGTCTTGTGACAGCAAGCAACAGGACTCCACAGTTTGTACAAGCTCACAGTTACTGTAGTATTGTAAGGATACTATGTCCTCTGCACTCCGACTGAACTGATAACTAATGCAAACACAGTCCGCGTGTCTTAACAATGCGAAGACCTCTACTCTTCATATCTGAGACACACGGATACATTCCTTCATATTTTTACGATTCCTCTTGTACATAGAAACACCTTATCTTATGTCACGTGATGCCATCACCTTGTGTAGAACATGAGCCTTCTTGTCACACTCACCCTTCTTCCAAAGTCCCTTTCATCAAATTTCCCTTTGTTTCTCAGCATATCGTACCATAGTTTGAGCCACTCGGCTATCCCTTTCACACTTGTATGTATATATACTCTTCAAATATCCATGTATTCCTCATGTAATCCAAAAGTTTTCACCTGTAACGTCCCAAAGGCCAAAAGCACTCCAGCCAAAACGACTCTGTCGCATCTTACTCTTGTCACATTGCATCTTACTCTCGACACATCGCGTGTCTTCATTCATCAAACCCTTTCGTACTCTCAAACAGCCTTACATATTTGGAGCCCACCACGAGGGGCTCCTTTTCGAACTTTTCCTTGCACCCAATTCTGATCCATTGATCTTCCAGTTTGATTCACAGATTCATTAAAAAATTCTAGATTCATTCATCTCAATCAACATCGCCCACCATTCCAAAATATTTTCACAAAAACGCGCAGTTCTCCCCGAAATGTCCTCGAAACAAACTTCCTGCAACAATTGACACTTCTATCATTCCAGAACCTCCCCTCCCAAATCCTACAACTTTTTCAGACCAACCTATCAACCCGTTCTTAGAGCTATCAACCTCCCCCATCAACTCGGAAGAATCAGCAAGATCCTCTTTGGACAAAGCTTTAGAATTATCTTCGGACTTTCCTTCAATCCTCGACAAACCATCCCTGCCCTCTTTCAAGCTCCTGGCTGCTAGATTTCTTCCATTCACGCCATCAGTACCACCTCTCATAGACGCCACAAGGAACGTTGCCTCAGCTGTACCCCTAACATTCATCTGTCAAAACAACACTTTCCCTCCTGTTCAAACTCAACCGCTTATTCCAACAGTCCCAAACACTCCCATACCTCCAGTTACACTCGCGCCAACCATCATCAATCCTACACCTGCACCGTCTCACCTTCCCTCGTCACATATCACATCGACCAAGCCCTCAATGAAAACCGTCATGTCTACTTCCAACAAAGGTATCGCTGCCATGCCTGGCCCTGGATCAAACAAAGCTCCCTCCTTTAACGAGGAAACATCGGAGCTCATAGACTTTTTTGAACTATTTGAAGATTTAGCAACCTCATGCACACTCATGGACGAACAGAAGTGCAAGGCAATTGTCCATTATACAGATGTCCTCACTAAATGTTTCTGGGTCATGCTAACGGGTTATGAAAGTAAAGATTTTATGATATTCAAGCAAAGTATCCTTGCAAAATATCCGCACACCAACCAAGGAACTCACTATATGATCCGAGACCTGGAACGGGTAGTACTAAATACAGTGGACTCTGACATCTCAACAGAAACGGAGCTTCTTCAATACTATTGCCAATTTCATCCTATCGCTGTATGGCTGGAGACTAATTCAAAAATCTCCCAATGCGAACGAGACAGATACTTTTGGCAAGGACTTCCTCACTCTGCACGGCGTGCTATCGATCGACGACTCAAACTCAAGGAAGCTAATTACACTCATAACGAAGCTACTGATTTCGAGAAAGTCCTCGAAGCAGGACAATTCATATTCTCTGATGAAGCATCTGACATGGATTTAAATGAGCCCATCGCTAGTCGCCTCAAATCCATGCATGAAAATCGAGCCTCCCGAGCTAAGCTGGCACAACCAATTTGGGATTCTGATGATGTAGAAGAGGAAAAGCGAGACGTATGACGAGAAGTGCAAACAAAATGCATAGCATTTACCTCCCCTCCGGTACCGGTCAAATCAACTATGGACGAAGTAGAGGATCTGGCGCGCAAGATGCACACCTTGGATATAGGAGATGCCGCCTACTCAGGGTGTTATACGTGCCTTGTATGCCTTGCTCCAGCTGCAGCACAAGCTTGGGCAGCCCCGAAATCACATCAACTCGTCAATTCAGTCACAACATCTGGTACCTTACCTTACATTCCTCTTCCTCCCTTACCATCCTCGCCCAACAATCAGACTAGGACTATGTGTTTCTTCTGTGGAGGGACACATGTGATTCAGACCTGCGCGATAGCCGGGGACTACTTAAGAGCTGGACGTATAATTTGCAATGAACAATACTTTGCATTTACGGACCAGTCCCGCATAAGGCAAACAGGGAATGAAATGTTAAAGCAAGCTATTGACACTAGATACGCGACGGCCCAAGCTTCAACACCCGCAAGTGGTCCTAATTCTATCCCTCTTGACAATTCCCGACGTGACACCTCGCTCCAGTCTTCCAATGACATCCCTACCACTGCCTTCATCTCAGAATCATACTTTTTCCAGTGTACTTCAATTGCTGAAAATCACGTGGTAGTCGTAACAGTTGAAGATGAAGGTGAAAGTCAGCCTTCAAACGAATTTTTAGCTATAACGCACTCAAAGTCGAAGGCCATTGACTCGGAACAAAGCAATACGTCCAACACGGCATCCCCAGCTTCTACATCAGAACCTCACCCCGAATCCAAGAAGATACCACCTTCCTTCACTTACGAGTCCAAAGCTGCTGATTCAGAACGAACCAAGTGCATGTTCTGAAACGTCCTTGACTCAGTAAGCTGTAGAACACTGCAGGACTCAGCGCGTACCTACTTCCACAGTACCACTTACCGCCAATATCGTTGCGACATCGCCACCAGTTCAGATTGAGCACACTACTCCACTCAGAGAGCTTCGCGTCACCCTCAACGGAGTCCACTCAGAGCTAGGATTGCTCGACGAAGGTTCTGAGATTGTTGTCATTAGAGAAGATGTTTGGAGAAAGACTAACGCACCTCGGAACCAAGGGATTCGCATGAGGATGCAAACTGTGAACGGAGGAGTGCAGGAGATGGGTGGGTGTGTCGAGATGTTGGAAATCAATGTCGAGGGCATCAAAATGTGGGCACACACATATGTGGTGCCAGACGCACCATATCGACTCTTACTGGGACGACCATGGCAAAGACTTGTTCGCCTATCCAAGAATGAGACACAAGACGAAGTGTCAATAACCATAAGTGATCCTCTTGATAGTACTAATACTGTTACGAACTAGGATAGTTCTAACAACAGAGACTCGACAGAGTTTCTGGCTGTTGAGTTTCGTAAGGTCCTTCAGAAAAGAAGGGGTTCTGTAAAGACTTAGTCAAAGGAGTGCTTCGACTAAGAATGCTAGTTCAGACGACTTAAGATTGGAGGTCTTAAGCAAAGGAAGTTCTGGTAAAACCTAGTAAGATTCAAGTGAAGTTCTACAAAGCTAATACATGTGCTTAAATAAGTCAATATGTGCGCACGGACCAAGGTAGTCGTGAGATATAAGTACATGGTTCAAGAAAGGTAAGTGATCATAAATGGAAAGGATACTATCGAACAAAGAGAATCAAAGAAGCAGAAGAAAAGCATTATTGTAACAAATACTCGTACCTGCAAGACATCAGTATGACCTTGGCCCCAACCAGGATCATTTATAGCCACATCGGCGGCCTTCTTCACACTGCCCTCAGTCTCCAAGCTCTTATCATCAAGATCATGAACCATCATGCAGTCGACCCTACCCACGCCTTTCATCCCATCATCTCAACTCCGTGCAACATCATTCTGCGACACGCTCTTAGAACAAGTGTTCGACTTCGACCCCATCCACCACATATTAGCATATAAGAAGGTCGCAAATAAGGTTAAGCCTGTAGCCACCACGATGCCAGCGCACATACGAATCATTCACCATTTCCCCGAAGATCGTTACTTTCTCTTCCTTCCTTGTCACCTCAACCTCCAGAATTTCAACCTGGTACTCGTCTCACCAAAGAACACATGCAAGACCTCAAAATCTTCAAAAACAAATTCTTATGGGCGGAAGAGCGCAAACTTGCTGCCCAAGTGCTTTCTAACAATGAATTTGCTCTTGCCTGGGACAAAACAGAGAAGGGGCATTTTAGAGATGATTATTTTCCCCCTGTCATCATTCCCACTATCGAACATACCCCGTGGACTCACCGACAGCCTCTTATCCCTCCAGGCATCAAGGACAAAGTCGTCAAGCTAATCCAAGCCAAAATCAAGTCCAGGGTCTATGAACCTTCAAACTCGTCATATCAGTCACAATGGTTCTGTGTTGTGAAGAAGAATGGCGCCATCCATATCGTACATGACTTACAACAACTGAACTCTGTTACAGTAAAGGACACAGCTTCAATGCCCTTCATTGAACACTTTGCTGAACAATGTGCTGGACGCTCAATATATTCCATGATGGATTTATTTGTCGGATTCGATCACAGAGCTCTCGCAGAAGACTCTCGTGACATTACCACTTTCCAAACTCCACTCGGCACCTTCAGACTCACTGTCCTACCCCAAGGCTGGACCGACTCACCTGCCATGTTTCAAAACGATGTCGCCTTCATACTTCAAAATGAGGTCGAAACGGCTCCAAATTTTCAAGACGACATCAATATTCTGGGAGCAAAGACCCATTACGAGAAGGCAGACAGAACATATGAAACACTTGCCGAGAACTCAGGAATTCATAGATTTGTCTGGGAGCACTGCATTGATGCTAATCGCGTCCTTCATAGACTCAAACACGCAGGAGCTACAATCTCTGTGAAGAAACTATTCCTCTATGTACCCGAAGTTCTCATCGTCAGACAATTATGCATGTATCAAGGCCGCAGCCCAGACTTGTCCAAGATCGCGAAAATCAAACATTGGCCCCCATGCACATCACGCACTGAAGTCCGCACATTTCTGGGCACTGCTGGAACAGTGCAAACTTGGATTAAAGACTATGCACGAATCTCCCATAAGAGAGTGATTAAGATAACACTGGAATAATTAGTATACATGGGAGTCTTTGTGAAGTTTCATACAAAGGAACATATCAGTGTCGATTGAATCGACAACAAGGAAGTCACCAGGCTGAGAGTGATCCTCAAGCAACAGCACCCCCCTGATAATCGATTCAGTGAAAATAAACTCACTCTTATGCTGAGGTTGAGCTCTAACTTGCCATAAACCCAGGAGCCTGTCCTTCGAAGGTCGATTTTGAATGGGGCATCACAAGGTTGAATAAGAGCCATGGGGTGACTTGTGCCTTCAACTAAGCACGTGAATATGAATATCAAGCGACCAAATATGATCCCGTCTTGAGTCCTGATGATGACAGTGTCATATCTTGGGGCATTGTGAAACATCGGAGAACAGTGGAGGTAGTCTGTTGATGTCCGAAAATCAACCATCAACTCGAAGTTTGCTTTCAAGTACCGGAATTCTGTTACCTGCATGTGCGGCACAAATCAAAGTATTAGTGCTGTAGCTGGCTTATCAATATGAACAAAAATCTTACTATATTGGCACTTAATTCAAGTGCAACATGTCCATTTCGTGCAATGACAGGTATCATGTTGAGAAAGCGGTTAAGTTTGGTATGAAACTGATAAAATGCTGGGTCTTCAAGGTGTGCTTGCTGAATGGCATGTATCGACGATGCACACTGACATGAACCAAGCTTGATATGAAAGCTGGACTCCGGTCCAGGCACGTTCAGAACTTCATCATCGGAATCTGAATCATCAAGATTACTCGCTTCTTTCCTTGCATTATAGGCATCAAGGTCATTGATGTGATAGCAAATCCATGCAGATACAAGGCTCCAATGGTCCACACGTAAGATCTATTAGTATTCACAGTAATCAATGCAAGTTCAGACGCAGTAGAAAATGCCCGACCTGGTCTGCTACTTGTTTGAAATTTGTTCGGAGCTGGTAAGATTTTTTCAAAGGTCTATGTGCTTTCTCGTTTGGTTTGGTATTAAAATTTCGAGTAACGCCTTTGGTCTTGATATCGTCAAAAAGGTGAATGCCCAAGTGATATTTCAGAAAATCCCAACTCTTTGATTCACATTCAGACTTGGAAATATATTTCTATGGAGGATCCATCAGCCGTTTGATTCAGACAGCGCTAGCATGTCAGTGAAGCACAACTTACGTCCATGAGTCTTGAAAACTCGTCAAGAGCAGCTCAACCAGCAGCGAGGGTCTGTGTGGTATGAACCTCGAGAGCTGCGAACATGTCTACATCTAAATGGGCTCAAATACATTGAAGGAGCAAATATCCAGACTCGTGTGTTTCAGGATCAAGTATGTCATGGGCAACAAATAGAATCAACTACATGTAAAGGGACATCAATTAGAATTGAGATCTCAAGAGTGTCCGAGTTGATCACCTTTAATATGTCTTCGTGCTTTGTCCCATCAGCAAAGCTAACTCCCATGATCTCCTTGAATTGGTTGAGATTCCTCCACCTTGGCACTGCCGCAAACCTGAGGAATGCTTATAATAGATGTCTATGATGAAACAAAAAAAACAGACCCTTCATCAATTTTAGTCGCAGCGTGTCTACCAACTTCATTGACGCATTTTTGCAGCTTGATCCACAAGTGTTTTCCCCATAGTCCTTCATGGTGGGTATGTAGGCGGTGTATAAACAACAATACTGTGAGGAACAAATGATGCTCCTGACTGTATCTAAAAAATGTTGTAAGGTTGCGCGTTGCCTAGTCTGCGTTACTTGAGGAGACAAGTGCATTTGACCTTAAAGGGGAAGCGAGTGCAGCAAAGATCTAGAGGTACGCACTGAAGCGAGGTGCGGGAACACATGCGCGTATTGGCGCGAAGCACGGGAAACCGCGTGCGCGTATGCGGAAACAATAGAGACTAAGCTTAAGTGATAATATAATGCAAGATAAGTGAAGAGAGATGCGAAGTGTAGAGGAATAGATTTCTACTGTGATTCAAGACCTCTTTATCTAGCAATTGCTCTGAAAAAGTGCTGATGGCAGACCACTACGGTGGGCCCATAATGTTTGTGATATCTTGGTATTAATGTCTGAGCCACAAGTGACAAATAACAATGGAAGGAACACATATGATTGGGCCCAAGAGGGATGTTAGAAATTAATGTCTGCATTCAGTGTGATGAAGTATGAATGCAAGGGTCAGGCATCGTCAGGCTTGGACATCAATTCTATCTCATCCAACTAGGCCCAAAGATTCATTTTTGTAAAATATCTATCTCTACTGCTTTTAACTCATATACCATTGATGATCTCTAGCTTGATTGATATTTCTGTTGGTTTCATACACAAATTAGGAATTTTTTTTGCTAAAAAATTACCAGAGGCAAATGCAAGTATCCTTGATGCAAAGTTCAATATATGACCAAAGTCTTGATGCAAACTTGGAATAATAAGTACAAAAATAATTTAATTCTTTTCAAAGGTCTCAACTTGGTTGAAGAATAAGAGCAGATTACACATCAAGTTTGATTCTAGTGACCTGAGGAATGAGGAAGAATACACATCTATCAAGGCTGAGATTCAAGGCAAAGATTCAAGCTGTATTTGAGACCTTTCATCATCATGTTGCTCTTCTCTCACTTTTTGAAAGTGCTGTATTGCATTCTGTATTTAATTCATCTATTTAGCTGAGGAAAAACATGGTGAGTAACAGGGAATGATAGACTTGCCTTGCAGATTTACTTCTTCATGGTCTCTCCACAGATGCATTCAACTGGTATCAGTCAAACAGTTGCTACAACAGAATCCAAATCTGTTTCAAATCTGTGTGTGTGGGTTAAAAACCTGCTAAAGATGAAATTCCCAGTGATTATCAGAGTCAAAATCTGTTTCTCTTGGAATGTGGGGGTTTGAAACCTGCCAATGATAAAATTCATGTTTTTAATGAAACCACACCTTTATATATGCTCTATGCCTTTCGACGCTCAGGTGTTTGTGAGAGAAAAAAAAGGGTGATTAGGAGGTCATTTGGATACATGCAACTTCGATGTGAGCTAATCTATGCAGAAAGGAATGGTATATTTGGGCAAAAGCCCAAAGGGCTTCTCGGCCTGCTGCAAGCACGCAAACCTGAAAGGTTTTAAGGTGAGCTGAGATCCCATAAGTTTAGGAGTGCGGCGACACTAACTGCAAAGTTTGACATCTTGAAAGGTAGGAGCAGCACTCACAGTTGTGTTTATCACACTGGGGGCATTGTGTGGCGAGTAAACGGTTCTAGAGCTGGGGAAGATTGAATGTATGGTGCGATGATGACAGCGTGTTCGCGCAAATAGAGAGTAAACACATCGCTTGACCACCTTCCCATGGATTTGACTACGTTGAAGGGAACTCCTCTCAACAAGTATTCCAATGTTCCACTTATTCTAAGTCCATGACCTTTTAGGTCTGGGAGCTTAGCGTCATGAGTGATGCTACTGAGTCTTTTCAAAAGTTCTGCTTTCAAAAGTGGTCTTAAGCCTTTTGGATGCTTCCAGGAGAAAAGGTGCACTTTTTTGTCAGCTTGGTTGATGCAAAAATGATTTTCCAGGGCCGCTTTCAGGTCTGAGGGACCATCTTGAGCGGCCCAGAAAGTGTCTTCTCCTTTGATTGGAGATGCTTTGGTACTCGGGATGTGGAATTTTGTGACTGGTAGGTTGTTGCAATCCATGGTTTCTGAAACATTTTCATGTGTTATGTGTTTGGAAGGATTGAAAGCCTTGATGGCGGGTACTGTGAACTCTCCTAGTCTAGTGATAGAGTAGAATGTGGTAGTAATGCATGTGAATATAGCGGCATCTAAAGGATCATCTAGGTTGATATTTGCGTGGATTATGGACAGTATTTCGACAGTGAATGGATTGTGTTTGGAGGATTTGGATGATGTAGGGGCTAATGTGGCTGCTCCGTTAAGTATGGCCTTCAATTCTTTTGCGTTCACTATCCACGGATGTCCATGTAAGAGGTGCCACACTTTGAGGCCTGCGGCATAGTTTTCTAATGCTGTGCCTGAGTATAAGTTGGCACAACTGGACAGAAAGGCAAGAAGCAGAGTAGGTGATACTGGGCAACGCTGGTCTTCCGCTATGTTGAGTGAGTCGCAGTATACATGAAATACCAAAAGTCCTGCTCCGTACGTCTCCTTGGTGGAGTTTGCCCATGATGATCCTATTACTTCTAGAATTCGGTTCAGTTGGTCATCGGATATGTTAATGTGTTGGGCGTTGGGAGATGAAGAAGAAGGGTTATGCACATTCTCTCCTGCCGGCAGCCACTTACGAAGCCTTTTGTGAGCTAGACAATGAGGTCTCAAGGGGGATGGAAGGGGAATCAGACCAGACTTATAGCACATTGGGGAGGAACTAGCTGAAGTCAGCGTGGATTGGGGTGTCAATGGAGCACTAAAGTGATGGTGCGTGATTACAGAATCATTGGGAGATGGCGTTGAAGATAATTTGATCTTCAACACGGGATGCTCTGGTCTTTCGAATGCTTGCTGACAGATGAGGGTTTGATTGATGACTTTGGCAGTGGGAGTGGAGTACTTCCCATTGTGGAATAGGCGGAGTTTTGTGGGAGTGAGGGGACTCAATGCGTCGATGACGAGGTGTCTGATTGCGGGTGGAATATGGGAGGGAGGGAGTAAAAGGTGTTTTGGCCCGTATTTTCCTCTGGAAGGTCCATCTGCAGGGTTTGAATTGCTGATGACATATTCCGTATGGATTTCGAGATGTCTGGGTAGAGAGTGAATGTGTTTAAACACCTCATTGACTGCTTTGTTCCTATGACTCCCTCTCCACCATCCTTCAATGACGCTCGTGTTGTCACCGCAAACAATGATGTGGTCGCTAGTGTTAGGGAGAGTGGCGAGGGTGTAGACCAGTAACTCAAAGCCAATGGCTTCTGCCCATGCAATGTCATGTTTCTCCCCTCCGTCTGTTTGCCATCCTGGTATGAGTCTCCAAGCATTTCACTTGTTGTCAAGGACGATGCCTATGCCTATGCTGGAACTAGCATCCGAGAAGGCAAGCGGAACTGAAAAGGATGCTGGTGGGCAAATTGGACATGAAACACCACCTGACTGAAGTAAGCTAGACCACCAGTCGAGGTCGGGTGTGATACCTTTGTCGGAGCGTTGGGGAAGGTGGGGGTTTTTCTGGAGGACAGCAATGAATCTTTCTAGGCTGGTGAGGTATGCCCTTCCTCTTTTGGCTGCTGTGCACGCATGCATTAGTTTACTGTAGAGTTCAAGAGCTTCTTGCAACACATAGGTGGGCTTCTTCCTCCATGCGTGGATAGCCGCAAGGTACTTGTCGACTTTTGGCTGGCTTAAAGAGACTGTGCGGCGGAGGATATCCCATAGAAACCCGATGTATATGGTCGAGGGAGCGAATGGCTGATCTTTGTTAAGCTGCCAAAAAATGCCTAAGTCTATAGATGTGTCATCTATATCTTGTAGATTATGGGAAAATAAAGCATTGTGATCTGATCTCGGGAATGTGTTTGAGAAGTCCCTGATGGGCCGAGAACAGTCTTCACTGAATTCTTCTATAGAATCATCATCAAAAATGTGTCCGCCATACCAAATGCGACTGCCTGATTGGTGCATTCCTCGCTTATTAGGTCGTGATGCCATTCTGCGCAATTACAATTATATTCATTTAAAAACTCCTTACGGATTCTAAAGAATATGTGGTCGTTGACCCACTTATCTAATGGTCTGATGCCTTGGAAACAGAAGATCTTGGCGCCTGCATCCGCAACATGTCCATAAGTGCCTGCAGATGGGGTTGCTCCGAAGGCTGTGCACATATCTATGTAGAACTCGGTGTTTGAGGTATGCACTACGGCTGCAGGCCATTGAGAAGGGTGGAGGGGAATGATGTGATATGCTTCAGCTACGTCACAAGTAGCTGCTTCTGAACCTGGAGGAAGTCTCGAAATTAATAAGTAAATGACGGAAAATTTTTCCTAAGTAGTTGGGAAATCATCAGCATTAATGTAGGAATTGATAGATGGGTTATGAAATTGGGTATCGGGAGTGCGAGGGAAGGAGAAATTTTGGATTGATCTAAATTTTCCCAGTTTGCCCGGTTTCGGAATAATAGAGAGTGGGGATGTCTGTAATGGTCCAATAAGATTCGTAAGTGTGCAGTCAGAAAAGGGTCCTATGTAGCGTGATTTTCGGATTTCTTCTTGTATACTGGAGTTGAACTGTTCTTTATACGTAATGAGGGATTTGCTATTAGCAGGGGCTTGGGTGGTGTGTATAGTAGGGAAGTTTAGGATGAAACCGGAATGGATACCTTGGGGGACTTTGGCGAAGTGGATTAGAAGGTTGGCATTGTTTAATTCTCTGTCCCATGCTTCTGCTTTGTAGGGTAAGATTGGGTTAAGCCTTCTGCGCTCTAGGACAGAGCTGGGCTCCGTGCATGGTGGCTCCACATTCTGAGCAGATATGTTTGTCATCATGTCTGTTGCTGCTGCAACCTTCCTCGCGTTGCCAGGCTGTGCATAACTGCTTGCCAGTTTTGGTCCAGAGCACTTTGTGGATTCGCTCTGCCATGGTATCATATTTTCCGTCCCATGTGTGTGTGGCAGAACATTCAATAATGCGGTGGGTGCTGCGTCCAAGGCAGACAGCACAGCATGGAAGTGGCAAGCTGGGGTCACGAAATGTTCTGGGCCTCTTGCTAAGTCTGGCATCTGGTGATGTTGGGGGGGAGCATTTCTGAGAGCTGGAGGAGCGAGTATGCTGTTGCTGGTTTCTGCTGGTAGAATTGACGGACATAGTGCACGAGTGCTGGGGGGGGAGAAGCCTGTAGGTGCAAGAGGTGGAGGGTAAGTTTTAACCCATAGATGAGAGGGAGATATCTCATCCAATGCATGGTAGGTATGATGGGTGTAATGAAGGTCCGGTTTGGAGTTTGGTGGATGCAATGTGTGCGCGATGGTGGTTGGTAGTTGTGCTGTGATGGTGGGGTGTTCAAAACCTGATGATAGGTTGGTTGTGATTGACCGAATGGTGATACATATGGTGCGGAGCGTGATGTCCACATATCAGGTTTTCGTTTGGACATGATGCCAAAGAATGTGTGTGTGGGTAGCAGTGATCACATATTGTAAGATGGAGAGAGGAATAATCATATTTTAGTGTGAGTTGTTAACGAAAAGGCTGTTTGAATTCTGGCCAGTTGGACAGTGAGCATCACGCCTGCACTATGTAAGAGAAGCCCTGCACCATGGGCATGTGCATAGAGTATGGCACGGGTGAGATTGGTGAGAGGTTGTGTGGTATGTGCATAGTCCTTGATCCAAATACGAATGGTCCCAATTGTTCCTAAGAAGCTTCGTACTTCAGTTCGAGAGGTACAGGTTGGCCAGTTCTTGATCTTCGAGACTTTGGTCTCATCTGGAATGCATCCCTCATAGGTACATTTATGTCCAACAACAATGACCTTGGGCATGCATAAAGAGAGCTTTTTGGCTGATACCATGGCTCCTGCGTGTTTGAGTTGGTGAAGTACGCGATTAGCGTCTGTGCAATGCTCCCATACAAATCTGCAGATTCCCGGGTTCTCGGGGAGAGTCTGATATGAATCGTCGGGCAGCTCATAGCACATGGAAG